TTGGGTGTTGTGTTAGTCACTTTTCTGTTGCTGTGATAGAAACACTGACCGAAGCAATTTATAGAAGGTAGAATTTATTTGAGCTTAGGGTTCCAGGGGAATTACAGTCCATCTTGGCGGGGAGGCATGGTGGGAGAAGTGGCTGGAGAAGAGAAGTGGAAGCTAAGCTCTACATCTTCCAGCAGATACAGGAAGCAAGAGAGAGCAACTGGTGATCTGGCAAGGCTTAAGAACTCTGTAAGCCCACCCCCTGTGACGTACTTCCTCCAGAATAGCCATACCTTCTAAAACCTCCCAAAACAGTACTATCATCTGGGGACAAAATGTCCAAACACTTGGGGGACATTTTCACTCAAACCATCACAGATGTTTAAGGTCATACAGTTGGCCCAGATAAACCAATTTATTTTTACACTTAAGGCTGTTTGAGGATCTGTTCCTCAGGCAGTCACATGGGCTTGGGAGGAGCCCTGGCTCCTTTCTTTTACCAGTTCTGCCTATGTGAAGATAAGTCAAAGGTCCTGCTTGACCATGCCTGGCTTTGCTTGGAAGTATGGAAAAAATGATTTCTCTGTGTTGACCCTCCTCTTTGTAGACTGGACACTGGTTCAAGTCCATCTCATGGGATCTCCTTGGCCTCCTTGATCAAGAGGACAGGTGACCCACCACAATTACAGGACATTTTGAGAGATGCTCATAGTCCCCTGGAACTAGTTGACCTAGGACAGCAAGGAGCAAAAACTGTCCTTTATGTCCCTCTGACCAAATTAGTATAGGCCTCAAAGTATGTCTGTTAAACATTTAAGAAGGTTAGTTCCACCAGTCTGGAACTTTTTTTGTTTTTTTATTTTTTTATTTTTTTTGTCTTTTTGAGACGGGGTCTCCCTGTAGCCCCAGATGTCCTGGAACTCACTATGTAGACCAGGCTGCCTTGAACTCACAAAGATCCGCCTGCCTCTGCCTCCCAAGTGCTGGGATTAAAGGCGTGCACCACCACACCCGGCTGGAACTTTTAATTAGTGTGTACCATGTAGATAAATCTTGGGCAAAGACCAATTGTTCTCAATAAACCTTGCCTAGACATATATTTCTTGGTCTGGTATGTATAATTTGTCAGTAGGTTGTTGGACTAATATGGTTCCCTCTGGTTTTTAAAACTTGCTAGGCATTATTTATCTCTCATATTGTCTAACCCCTCCATCATGGTTTCCCCAATTGAGGCGCCCCCATTTTTCCCCTTTCTCCCTTACTAATACCCTTCTCCTATGGTCCTACCTCTCTTGAGGTAGGTGCCTACAACACAGCGGACAGTAGCAGGGATAACAGAGTATAAGGGCTCTAGTCGGGGGAGGGAGGCTATGGGAGGGTGCCATCTGGGAAATGGGTGTATAGTTGAGTAAGATGGTTTGGGATGTTCTGTACGACATACACACAAAAAAAGTCAACAAATTTTAAAAAATGAATTATATTTGAGGAGGAAGCATAAAAATTTATAGCATATTAATTAGTAGAGGTGATAAACATTACCATTGAAATCTTGAAAGAGATGCATCTTTGCTCTGGAAGTTATTATTGAATATGTTAATGCTGCAATTAAATGCTTCTTCTAATCATGTGGTTATTAAATTAAAAAAAAGTGTTGAGTAAAGTCTAAGAAATAAAAACAGAAAAACAAAACAAAAACCCCCAAAATTTAAAAATTAAAAAAAGATTTTTAGGAACAAAATTTATTTCTTCTTCATGTTAGCTGAGAGCTCCCCACTCTACTTCAGGAATTGTTTGTTTTTTAAATTTTTATTTATTTTATTTCTTATGTTTTTGAGTGTTTTCCCACATGTGTGTAAGTGCACCATGTGCATGCAATGCCCATAAGAAGTGAGAAGAGGGCATCGGATCCCCTGGTACAAGAATTACAGATGGTTGGGAGCTGCCATGTGGGTGCTGGGAACTGAACCGGGTCCTCTGCAAGAGCAGCCAGTGCTCTTAACCGCTGAACCATCTCTCCAGCCCCTCTTTTCTGATCTTTTCTTTTAGTACTAGGAATTGAATGAACCCAGAGGCTCGAGCACAGATAAACCATCAGTCATGCATGCTGACTGTGACAGTGCCCAGACTCTTTCTCTCTGCTTAGCCCCTCTACCTTTTTTTCTTTCCCATAGCAATCCCAGGAACCACCAGCTCAGAAGGGTCCCACGGTTACCACCAAGGTGCGGCGGACCATGAGCAGCCGTGTACATGAGGCCGTAAAGGCCATCGCGCTCTGCCACAATGTGACACCCGTGTACGAGTCCAATGGTGTGACGGATCAGGCTGAGGCTGAGAAGCAATATGAAGACTCATGTCGTGTGTACCAGGCGTCCAGCCCAGATGAGGTAACCTGGACTGGGCACAGCTGTGTTACCTCCTTGATCCCTGGATTCAGTGAGGGTCAGACATCATGGGCTTTGTGGTACTGTCTCTCCACATTCTGGGCATTTCCCCTGTCCCTCCCGCTTGCCTACAAAACTTGGGTTCTGATTATAGAATCATTTTTTTGTTTTGTTTTGTATGGTTTTTGTTTTTTGAGGCAGTGTCTCATATGATCAGAGTTGGTGGCCTGAAAGTGTTAGGGCCCTGTGGCACAGTGAGAGCCTTGCTGAGCTCATGGGTAGGAGGACACCAGGATATCTCCTATCAGCCTTCTTTTGGAGGCCATGGAATTTGTCACCTGGGGGAGAGTCCTCTTTCCAGTTTTTGTGGTATTGTGAGGCGACTCAAGCCATAAAGGCATTTGTCCATCTGTGGCCAGTGACATCTAAGACAGGCTTAAAAAAATTTTTTTTTGGATTTATTTATTTATATTTCAAGTGTATGAATGTTTTGCTTGCCTTTATGTAAGTGCACCTGTGTGTGCAATGCCCACGGAAGCCAGAAGAGGGCATCGGATCCTCTGGAACTGGAGTTACTCAGATGTCTGTTAGCTACCATGTGGGTGCTGGGAACTGAACCTGGGTCCTCCGAAAGAGCACCCAATTCTCCTAACTGCTGAGCCATCTTTCCAGCCCCCTAGCCAGGCTTTTTAGGAATGAAAAAAAATCACTGTTCCCAACTTCTGAGCTGGGGATCCTGTGTGAATGGGGGGGGGGCACTGGCATTGCTTTGTCTCTGCTCATCCCACTGCATCTAACCATGCACCATCACTGCTCATCATGTCTAATTCACCACATCTTGTTTTCATCGGGAATGGAAGCAGGGCCTCCCAGGGTCTGGGGTGTGAGGGAGGACTGTGCTCTTGGTAGTTACTGATGGGGGACTGCAGCCTGTGGGCCTGTGATGGCATCGGACTTTGAGATGCTGACCAGCCGCCTGGCACCTTGGCATCATGCTCCAGCTGGCTGTGGAGATGCATCCCTGCAGATCTTCCAGCCCTCCCACAGCCCTTTCTCTGCAGAACCTTGATATGTTGGTTGTAGGGCTGTGGAAGGATTGTCGGTTGGGTAAATCTTCTTTGGGGATGCTTCATGCTCCAGAGTTTCTCCTCTCCACAGGGGAAGAGGCTTCATCTCATTCACCCATTGGTTGCACTTGGATGCAGATTTGTCATATTTTTCAAAGACTGATTTGTTATAGAAAACAACAAAAGAGATGACTTATTTTAATGTCTCCGGAGTCTTCCCACAGGCCAGGGTGACCTTATACTTAAAAAGTTTTAAGATTACATTTACTTTGTGTGCATGTTTTAAAATTACATTTACTTTGTGTGTGTGTGTGTGTATACATGCATGTGCCAGGGTACACAGATGGAGGTCAGAGGTCAACTTGCCATAGCTGCTTCTTTCTTTCTATGTGGGTTCTGGGGATTGAACTCAGGTTGTCAGGCTTCGCAGAAAGCACCTTTACCTGCTGAGCCACCACACACACACACACACACACACACACACACACAAATACACCCCCCCCCTTTTTCCCTTTTTCTTTTCTTTCTTTCTTTGTTTTTTACAAATAGGATTTTTTATTTGTCACTATTAAAAATCTGAATTTTAAACAGATTCTTGGACTGGTGGTTCATATCCATCAGCTCGTTCAACTTTGGCTCCTGTCTCATCACCAGCTGCTTTTCCAGAATGACTACCTTCACCACGAAGCTCCATGAGTTTTCCCAATTCAATTCAAACTTGGGCTTCTTCAGCATTTTTACTTTACTAATGAAGACTTCATGCAGAGGATAAATAGACTGGCAAGTCTTTTCTATGTCTTTTCCAATGCTGTCTGGAATCAGTTTATTAACCACTTCTTTCAAATCCTTTGTCTGCACCTCTCAGGTCATGATCTCCATCAATTTCTTCCAGATCTGACCTACCTGTTGGTGCTGTGCATAGGAGGTCTTTTGTGTCTGGTTGTTTCGTTTTTTTAGTAAAAACAACACAGAACAAGCGAAGCAAGTAACCATCAACTGTCTAGATGTCAACATGAGCTTCAGTCATCGTCTGCCATTTTTTGACCATGGAACACATTTTGTCCCGGGTAAGATCCATGCCATGGAAGTTAGACAGTTTTTGCCCTGAACATCCTCAGTAATGAGCTTGAACTTTCTAGATGCAGCTTCATCATTCTGTAGATCAGCAAGGCTCACTTCAAACACACGACCCTTGAGGCCATCAGATGCGATTTTGGTTCCTTGAGTCCTTGTCACTAGTGTTTTTCCGATATTTCTAATGTTGAACATAGCTGGAGCTTTCACATCATACCAATCCATAGAAAGTGGATCAACTAGTTTCTTCTTGGCTCCCTTCTCACTGCCTTTTGTCAGGTACTTGTTCTTCCCTACCGCAATGGTGTCTCACTGAGAGCCAAAAGGCTCACCCCTTTTTCTAATTAAAAATGTTACTAGTGTGTGTATATGTGAATGTGGGCACGTGTGTGCCACAGCACACATGTGGAGGTTAGAAGACAATTTTCGGGAGTTGCTTCTCTCCTTCCATGGTGGCTTCTTGGTCATCATCTCATTGAACTCAGGTCATCAGGCTTTGTAGCAAGTACTTCTATCCGCTGAGCCATCTCAGTGGCCCCCTTATACCTTATTTTTGTTGTTGTTGTTGTTGTTTTGAGACAGGATCTGGCTGACCTGGAACTGGCTGTGTAAACCAGGCTGGCCTCATACTCAGAGATCCATCTGCCACTGCCTCTGCCTCTGGAGTGCTGGAATTAAAGGCATGCACCATCACTCCCAGCCCTCTTACATTTTTTATTTACTTATTTATTTACTTTTATTTTATGTGTATGAGTGTATTGTCTGCACGTATGTAAGTGCACCTGTGTCATGAAGTGCCTGTGGAGGTCAGAAGAGGGCGTCATATCCCCTGGAACTGGAGTTATGGATGGCTGTTAGCCGCTATGTGGGTGCTGGGAACTGAACCTGGGTCCTTTGCAAGAGCAACCAGTGCTCTTAACTGCTGAGCCACCTCTCCAGCTCCATGGCTCACACTTCTAATCTCACTACTTAGGAGGTGGAGGCAAGAGGATCAGAAGTTCAAGGGCATCCTTGACTACATAGCAAGCTACAGGTTGTGCCCAGCCTAGACCGCATGAGACCCTGTCTCATAAATAAATAAATAAATAAGTAAATAATAAATTATTAATTAATAAAATAAAACAAAACATGTGCTGGAAGTAGGATGTAGCTCAGGTGGTAGAGTGCTTGCCGAGCATGTATGAAGCTTTGGGTTCCATGCTCAGCACTGCATAAACTGGACGTGGTGGTACATACCTGGAATCCCAGCCCTCAGGAGGTGGGAGCAGGCAAATCAGAAGTTCAAGATCATCCTCAACTACATACAAGTTCAAAGGCAGCCTACATGACATGAGACCCTGTCTCAAAGAAAAGCCCTTTTGGGGGAGGTTGCTGGAGATCAGACACAGGGTCTCATGTATGCTGGCAAACACTCCTCTGCTGAACTGCATCCCCACCTTGCTTTATTGAGAGTCTCACTGTGTAGTTCCAGGCTGACCTTGAACCTGTTTCAGCTTCCTGGGTGCTGGAATTAGAAGCCTGTACCACCACACCTGGCTCTTTGTTAAGGTTTTAAAATCACAAGTCCCAATGTCTTTACTACAGAAAAAATAGCCATTGTAGACTGCAAAAGTTGATACAAGTAACCTGAAGTTAATCTGCAGTCTGTGGCTAGGGATATAGCTCAGTTGCATGCATGAGGTTGTATGAATTTGACCCCTAGTACTACACAATAACACTGAAACCAAAACCCTACAATTCTTACCACCTATCAGTTGTTCTTGTTTATGTTCTGGAGGGATCTTTCCAGATTTTCCTTAATCTACACATACATACAAACAAGTCCAGATACAGTGTAGACTCATTGTGGTACGTATCTTTACGAAGCAGGATGGTTGGGCTGGTAAGATGGCTCAGCAGGTAAAGGCGCTGGCTGCCAAGCCTAATGACCTGAGTTTGATCCCTGGGACCCACATGATAGAAGGAGAGAACCAATGCCTGCAAGTTGTCCTCTGACCCCCACATGAGCACCATGGCATGCATGTGCTCACACACATACATATGTGCAGACATAAATGTAATTTTAAAAAGCGGGAAGACGAGTTAAATCAAGAATCTTTAGAAAGTCGTAATGCTTTTGTATTCCTGTAGGATTAATGTATGGGTGTTTATATGTGGGCATGAGTTCCTATATGTGTACTTACATTCATGGACATGAGTGCACATATGATATATGTATACGTATGGACATGTATGTGTATGAGTGAAAGTTCCATGTGCTCTATCTCCATTACCCAGATCTTAGGATCCTTCCCTTAGAATGAGTATGTTGCTCCTGGAGTCCACAGTGGCCTTGGACTGGCCCACTTGCATGTGGCCACAGATAGCTGGGTAGGGAGCTAGAACATAGACATCTCCCCCAGAGGATGGGACAACCTGTGGAGGGTGAATATCTGCTATTCTCTGGAGTGTCCTGGTCCTCCCTCACTGCAGAAGGGGCTGTGGAAAGCACAGCAAGGATCAGTCTGTCTAGAGGTCAAGTTCTGCAAGGGTCAGACAGTCTGGAAGTCAAGTTAGCAAGGATCAGGCACTCATCCAGAAGGGGGCTGTGGAAAGGCACAGCAAGGATCAGTCCAGTCTAAGAGGTCACGTTCAGCTTTTGCAGCAGAGGTTTAAAAGAGCAAGGGAAAGCCATCCCTCATCCCCAGACTCAGAGAAGATCTCAAGTGACATTTGTGTATTTTCCCTTTTTTTCTGTGCATGCAACTTAAATACACTTGAGCATTTGTAACCTGTGATCTGAATCTATGTGTGTGTGTGTGTGTGTGTGTGTGTGTGTGCATATGCATGTGTGTACATGGATGAGAGTGTATGTACATGTAC